GCCTTACCAAAAGGCTTTTTAGTAGCTTTTCCAGCTAGACAAGGTTCACATTTAGGCAATTTAACCTTAGTTAATTGTCCCAAATGTCCTTCTTTAGCTAGTCTTGACATTCTATCTTGACCAATATGACCAAGTCGCGCATGCCATTTAACAGATTCAGAATCAACATTATAAAATGAAGCAAAAGCATGTGATGAGTCATTATAACTTTCATCCAAGTCAAGAACAAAGAAACCATTCTTTAAAATACCATGTCCGAATAAATTGTCATGATACAAAATGTCCAAACCGCTAGTATTGAAGTTAAAGGAAAAACCAAGTTTTAACAAGGAAACAATTGAAAGTAAACAACTTCGCACCCCGGGTGCATAGAGAGTATCATGCAGGAGTAGTGTATTTCCACCATGGAGTTTATGTTGGTATGTTCCAACCCCAAGGACATCTTCCTCGCTCCCATTTCCTAACATGACAGTTTGAGTGCCAATAGGAAACCAGTGAAACTCCACAAATCCAGATCTTTCATGAACTATGTGCTTGCTTGCTCCCGTATCTATAATCCAATTAGGAATAGAATTAGCAACTAATGCATGAGAACAAACAAATAGTTCAAAAGAGTTAGTGGTAGAAGGTACCTTTTTCGGCTCAGCACAATCACGAGCGAAATGACCTTTCTGTCCACAATTATAGCACTTCACACGCGCTATTTTCTTCTCCCTTTGGCCATGTGCCATAAGTTGTTTCTTTGAACCACCATTTGATCCAAAAGTTTGAGAAGGACGGGAAAATTTCTTGGCTCGTTTGCGCTTATTTCCCTTGGTTTGACCACCATGGGCAACAAATGCAACATTGGAAGGTGCTAACGTTCTCTGACGTTCTACTTCCATTTCAATATGTTTAGCGAGTTCTGAAAAAGTTTTTACATTCTCGCTATGAGCCATGAGAAGCTTGAAGTTCTTCCAATTCTCAGAATCATTTGGAAGTGAACGAACCACATTTAGAACTTGCTCCTCGTCAGATACATCTCGTCCCGCAACTTTCAGGTCACGTATCATGGCACTCATGACACGCAAATGTTAGGCAACAAAGTGTTTAGGATCCAAATTGTAATCCATCCACTTTAAGTTCAAGGCACGCAGCCTAGTAGCCGAAGTTTGCCCAAAGGTGACCTTAAGCTTGTCCCACATGTCTTTAGCCGTGGGACAATTCTCAAACTCTCCAATAAGATCATTATGCATGCAATACAACATAGTATAACGTGCAGAACGATCCTTTTTGGACCACGTCTGATAGTTTGTCAATTCTTCCTTGTACTGCGCACTAGCAGTATCCTTTGGCTCAATCACAGTAGTGGACAAGGTTTCCAAAACCTCGCGTTCATTAAGAAGATACTGAATCTTCCTATGCCAGATGTTGTAATTGGTACCATCTAGCTTTTCGTTGGAGGACAAATCTCCAATCATGGATTTAGTTGTCATCTTTATGTATATAAAATGGATATTAGGCATGAGGTCAATATAATTAAATTATCAATTTTATTTTTGTTTATGCCATGAGTTCGAAAATTTCGCCAAGCTCATAATCATCACAAATAACACAAACAAGAATAAATATAATTTAATTAACCTTATTTTAGTGAAACATATTCATTTATTCATGTTATTGTTTAACAAATAAACACAAATATAAATATCACAAAGATATTTAAGTCTCTTAACATGAATAACAAATAGTCATGTATCATAATTATAAACATCACAAAGATATGTACTAAGTCTCGTAACATGAATAACATATATTCATGTATTGTATGAAATAAATATAAACATCACAAAGATATTTACGTCTAGTAACATGAATAACATATATTCATGTATCATATTAAATAATTATTTAAATATCACTTAGATAATTTAAATAATAATAAGAAGTCACACAATATTACTACAATATTGATTTATTCTTTTCATCATAATAACAATTATTATGATAATTCCAAAATAATCTTTATGTAATGGTAAACATGAATCCATATAAATATCATAATAATAACAAATATTATTATTAGTAAATAATATGAAAGAAGAAGATATAATAAAGAGATTGGTAAAATCATTTGTATCTTCTTCACATCAAAATCTTTATTTATACATTAATTAGGCAACAAAACCTAATTTATTCCCCCATATCATTTTTTTTTTTTTTTAAATCATCTTCATGATCACAAATTCATGAATGACATTCATTCTATATTTAACACTTAGTTAATCAATAGAATGAATTTTATGTAACAAATATATAAATATATTTGTTTTACAAAAAAATTGTCGGAGGAATAAACGGGCTCTGATACCACTGTTAGTGATTTATATAACGCATATATAAATATATATAGGATTGACCTTTATGTAGCGGAAGCGATTACTTTCCCGTATATCTTTTATCCGACGGCTACTAGAGTCGTCGGTATCCTCCACGTTCTAAAACCCGAGCCGCCTTGATGGTTTCGGCTCAACAAGAGAAAAGCACTATATAAAGATTATGTATTTTCTATAACTTATTTTTTTTTTTCGTTTTGTTCACTTTTCAAGATGCACACAAGCACCTTATTTATAGTTGTCTTAATACAACTATTAACTTAATGAAGACATGACTTCACACTTAATGAAGACATGAATTCACTTCATAACTCACTTCATAACTCCATACATAATGGAGATGAAATTGTAACATTACCACATTTAAGTGGATGTTATCAATTGATGCAACATATCATCAATTAAAAACAATAACAACCTTCTTGGTTTATCCATTTTAATGTCTTTACAATTTCTTTAAAAAAAAAAATAAATTAACAACTGACAATAATATAAAAGTATCAACTGTAATTAAGTTATATTCAAACTAAAAAAGTATAAAAGTATAAAATGTAAGTAAGTTATATTTCCAACATTTTATTTTCAAAGATGAATTCAAAATCAATAATATAAAAATAGTTGCAGTTTTTATTTATTATAAATATTTTGGTTAGATATATACATCTTCATATAAAAAATAAAAATTATGGAAATGCATTTATAATACATCAATAACATAACCTTTTAGTCCCAAACAAGTTGGGATAGGCTAGAGATGAAACTCAAGAGAACCAATGGTAAGAAAAACACAAAATGGCTAAAAAAACAAAAAAAAGAGATTGGAGCAAAAGAGAAAGGAGCAAAAGTCACGGTTCTGACACGTTGATTTCTAGCCTCCAAGCGTTCATATCCACCACTAAATCCTTGGAGATATTCCAATCTTTAAGGTCTCTCTTAACCGACTCTTCCCAAGTGAGTTTAGGCCAATCTCTACCTCTATTTACATCATCGACCCGCTGTAGAACTCCCCTATGCACCGGTGCATTGGGAGGCCTTCGTTGGACCTGTCCGAACCACCTCAGCCGATGTTGAACCAATTTCTCCTCAATTGGAGCCACCCCGACCCTATCTCAAATATCCTCATTCCTGATTTTTCCCCTCTCTTGTGTCCGCAAAACTAACCCAACATACGCATCTCTGCTACACTTAGTTGTTGGACATGTTGCCTTTTTGTAGGCTAACATTCAACACCGTATAGCATCGCCGGACGAATCGCCGTCCTATAGAACTTACCTTTTAGCCTTGGTGGCATCCTCTTGTCACAGAGAACGCCCGAAGCTTGACGGCATTTTATAATAAATAATAAAAAAAATTCTAATTATGTTTCTAATTATGTTTATCTATTCATATATATTGATTATTTATTTATAAATTAGTGCAATCATATATGCTTATAAAACGTCTACTTAATAACATATTTATATTGTTTAATAGATATAAACAAATTATTTACTTATATTAGTGTAAGTATTTTTAGTTCATTTGAATAGAAAGATTCAAATGTTAGATGAAGTTCCAGAGATGTATAACGTCGAAAGATTCAAATGTTAGATGAAGTTTCAGAGATGTATAACGTCATTCTGCGTAAGAATGTTTGAGTGGTATTATTTGATTATATTGATAATTTGTGAATAGTTGGTTGAGTTAGAATTGATTTAAAAAAAGTTATAAGTCAAATGATTGGGTTTTTTTTTTTTTTTTTTTTTTTTTGTGAAAAATTTATATCCAAGCATCCCCTCTTTCTCTTAATAATAATCCTCTTTTATTAGGATTCTCAATGTGATAACAATTCTGCCATTACTGATATATCAAATGCAAGGACGTGGGAAAATTTCAAAACTAGTCTCACATGTATAGAGGGGGTGACAATTTTTGTCCCAACAGAATCCATAAAATATTAATAGTCCCGCCGCTTTTAAAAATTTCAAAAAAATTTGTAAAACGTATTCACTAAATGAATTTGTACTGAAAACGTATTTAGTGAATACGTGCTTTTTATTTTGTTCCACTCTCCATTTTTTTTTTTTTTTTTTTTTTTTTTT